AGTATGTGAGACATGATTTTCCTCTCACAAAACCATGCTGACTATCTCTAATCTCTCTAAATGTCCATAAATCCTATCTTTTATAATCTCCTCCAACAATTTACCTACAACCGAAGTCAGACTCACAGGTCTGTTGTTCTCTGGTTTCTCCTTACAACCTTCCTTAAACAAAGGTGCAACATTCTGTGGTGGGAAACTAGTGCTGCCCTTTATAAAGGAAATAACTCAAAACATTTAGCAAGAACCAAGGCAATAAATCCATTCAAACATGGGGTTATGAAACTAGTAAATTTAATGGAATTTTTTGATTTTAATTTTGTTGATGATAATTCCATATTTTGACCTTTTAGAAAACATTTCATCAGGCCCTAGCAGAATTCTGGCTGAACTAAAAGCTCGTGCATTCTAAGATCAAATTGTGAGTTGAATCATTAATTGGCTAGGCAGTGCTAAGAAGTTGCTTTCAATGCTAACAGTGCTGTGACGAATGGAGCCCCCTGAGCTTAAGTTTGAGACGCATAGAATTAACATTTGCTATTGGACCATTGTATTCTAAGAATATCTATAGATGAAACAAAACTTTTGTAGCAAGTATGTATGAAGAATGTAATGACTTGTAATTGAACAAATAAATGGGGTTTAGAATTGAGAGCTAAATGTCATTGCAAAAGCAAAGCACATAAAGATTATATAAAGAAATTTACCTCAAAATAAAATCAGTATGCCCATAATTGTTTCATATAACTATTGGAACCTCTTGATATAGGTTGCACTAATTGTCAAAGGAGATAGAATATTGAGGTCTATTTAGATCCATCAATAATGAATGTAATTAATATCGAATGTCTAAAGCATTATTGAAATGATACTTGGTAACTGCAGTGATTTTAAAAAACTGCTAGCGTATGAAGACAATTGAAAGAACTTGGTAGTTCAATTAGGACACATAACTTGTTACAGGTTCACAAAGTGAATTTTGCAGTTTTAAGAGGAAGAAACTGGAGTAGTCATATTGTTGTTGGCCACGTAATCAGAGACCCTTTGTACTGAGAGGGATAACATCTTTTGGATGAGCTGTAAAAGGGTGGCACTATATGCCCATGTGGGTGGGCATATAGTACAGGATCCCATGGCACTATTTGAAGAATAGGTAGTTTCTCTCATTTTTCCTACCCAGTATTTATGTCTTGATCATCATTAAGACACGATTGTGATTTATTTCATTGCTATTTCTGGGAGCTTGCCATATGCAATTTGAGTCCTACGTTAACTACAATAAATACATTAAAAGGTACTTTGGGAAATTCTGAGAATTTGAAAAGTGTTGTATACATAAGAAATCTTCTGAAGTGTCTCTAAGCCAAATGACGAGGTGATTTCACGAAAAGGATCGTTTTCATTGAATCCCTACAATGTGGAAGCAGGCCATTTGGCCCATAAAGTCCATTTCAACCCTCTGAAGATCATTTCTACCCCCCCCACCCCCTAACCTTTACGTGTAACCCTGCATTTCCCATGGCCAATCGACCTAACCTGTGCATGTTTAGACTGTGGGAGGAAACAGGGGCGCTGTGCGAAAATCCACACACACATGAGAATTTGCAAACTCCACACAGACGCTAACCTGAGGATGGAATCGAACTTGGGTTTCTGGTGCTGTGAGACAGCCATGCTAACCACTGAGCCTCCAAACCGCCCCAAATTTTGTCCATAACCTGGTGAATTATTTTAAATTTTAAGGATTCGTTAGTTATTTTTAAGAAAAAAGCTTCACTACCTGTGAGAGAAGGATAGGAGGAAGGTGAGACAGGGAGGGCTTCATTCACTCAGACTGCCCGCTACCATCTGTGTTGTACTGCTTTGCCACTTCCAAAACTTATTTCTGCAAATTGGTGACTTCACCAGCAGGGGGCTTGAATGCTGTATACAATAGAAATACATCTGAATAAATATAGAAGAATCGTATCTTAGAGCCATAGATGATGATGATAAAGCTAAACATGTTCTCATTGAGAAAAATAAACAGGCTGAAATGTGGTTTTGTTTTCAAGCATTTAGTCAGGAAGGAGATCAGTGAAATCTGTCTGAAGAATTTACTTGTGTTGAGATATGTAGGGGCTAGACCTAGGTTTAATGTTAGAGATAACAAGGTGTAGAGCTGATGAACACAGCAGGCCAAGCAGCATCAGAGGAGCAGAAAGGCTGACGTTTCGGGCCTAGACCCTCCTTCAGAAATAGAGGAGGGGAAGGAGGTTCTGAAATAAATAGGGAGAGAGGGGGAGGTTCATAGAAGATGGATAGAGGATAGAGGAGAAGATAGGTGGAGAGGAGACAGACCGGTCAAAGAGGCGGGGATGGAGCCAGTAAAGGTGAGTGTAGGTGAGGAGGTAGGGAGGAGATAAGTCAGCCCAGGGAGGACGGACAGGTCAAGGGGGCGGGATGAGGTTAGTAGGTAGGAAATGGGGGTGCAGCTTGAGGTGGGAGGAGGGGATAGGTGGGAGGAAGGACAGGTTAGGGAGGCGGGGACGAGCTGGGCTGGTTTTGGGATGCGGTAGGGGGAGGGGAGATTTTGAAGCTTGTGAAGTCCACATTGATACCATTGGGCTGCAGGGTTCCCAAGCAGAATATGAGTTGCTGTTCCTGCAACCTTCGGATAGCATCGTTGTGGCACTGCAGGAGGCCCAGGATGGACATGTCATCTGCGGAATGGGAGGGGGAGTTGAAATAGTTTGCGACTGGGAGGTGCAGTTGTTTAGTGCAAACCGAGCGTAGGTGTTCTGCAAAGCGGTCCCCAAGCCTCCGCTTGGTTTCCCCGATGTAGAGGAGGCCACAACGGGAACAGCGGATGCAGTATACCACATTAGCAGATGTGCAGGTGAACATCTGCTTGATGTGGAAAGTCTTCTTGGGGCCTGGGATGGGGGAGAGGCGGGAGGTGTGGGGGCAGGTGTAGCACTTCCTGCGGTTGCAGGGAAAAGTGCTGGGTGTGGTGGGGCTGGAGGGGAGTGTGGAGCGGACGAGGGAGTCACGGAGAGAGTGGTCCCTCCGGAAAGCAGATAAGGGTGGGGAGGGAAAAATGTCTTTGGTGGTGGGGTCGGATTGCTGGTGGCGGAAGTGTCGGAGGATGATGCGTTGAATCCGGAGGTTGGTGGGGTGGTACGTGAGGACGAGGGGGATTCTGTTTTGGTTGTTATTGCGGGGAGGGGGTGTGAGGGATGAGTTGCGGGAAATGCAGGAGACACGGTCGAGGGCATTCTCGACCGCTGAGGGGGTGAAGTTGCGGTCCTTGAAAAACGAGGACATCTGACATGTATGGGAGTGGAATGCCTCATCCTGGGAGCAGATGCGGCGGAGGCGAAGGAATTGGAAATAGGGGATGGCATTTTTGCAGGAAGGTGGGTGGGAGGAGGTGTATTCTAGGTAGCTGTGGGAGTTGGTGGGCTTAAAATGGATACCGCTTTTTAAGTGGTTGGCAGAGATGTAGACAGAGAGGTCCAGGAAGGAGAGGGAGGTATTAGAGATGATCCAGGTGTTCACCTGCACATCTGCCAGTGTGGTATACTGCATCCACTGTTCCCGTTGCGGCCTCCTCTACATCAGGGAAACAAAGCAGAGGCTTGGGGACCGCTTTGCAGAACACCTACGCTCGGTTCGCACTAAATAACTGCACCTCCCAGTCGCGAACCATTTCAACTCCCCATCCCATTCCGCAGACGACATGTCCATCCTGGGCCTCCTGCAGTGCCACAACGATGCTACCCGAAGGTTGCAGGAACAGCAACTCGTATTCCGCTTGGGAACCCTGTAGCCCAATGGTATCAATGTGGACTTCACAAGCTTCAAAATCTCCCCTCCCCCTACCGCATCCCAAAACCAGCCCAGCTCGTCCCTGCCTCCCTAACCTGTCCTTCCTCCCACCTATCCCCTCCTCCCACCTCAAGCCGCACCCCCATCTCCTACCTACTAACCTCATCCCGCCCCTTTGACCTGTCTGTCCTCCCTGGACTGACCTATCTCCTCCCTACCTCCCAACCTACACTCACCTTTACTGGCTCCATCCCCGCCTCTTTGACCTGTCTGTCTCCTCTCCACCTATCTTCTTCTCTATCCATCTTCTATCCACCTCCCCGTCTCTCCCTATTTATTTCAGAACCCCTTCCCCTCCCCCATTTCTGAAGAAGGGTCTAGGCCCGAAACGTCAGCCTTCCTGCTCCTCTGATGCTGCTTGGCCTGCTGTGTTCATCCAGCTCTACACCTTGTTATCTCAGATTCTCCAGCATCTGCAGTTCCTACTATCTCTCTGAAATAGGTTTAATGTTAGGCAGTTTTGTTTTTGCTGTGTGCTTTCAAGAGAGGTAGTCTTGTTTCCAGCCGGGGTAGACCTCAATTTACAGGGGTGGAGAGAAACTGTCCAGATTTACTTTTAACTAATTAGCCTGGGTTTTTCATGTGAGGTGTTTTTGTGTCCCAGCTCACTGTCTTCAATTATGTTGTGATGCATCAGACAGTACAACTGAACAGAATAAGCTAATTGGATCAAAGGGGCTTTTCCCATCTCATTTATTCAACATGTTCACATGGGATATTCATTCTAGTAGTTCTGTTATTATTCTTATTAAACAATTGACTTTGCACCAAGGCACAAGGTAGAGTAATGTTATGTAACTGCGCCTTGTGTAGGGAGCTGATTGCAGATTAATAATAGGATTGAGAAAAGCAATCTTAACTATTTTAACTAACAATTGTATTCAGTCAGTTTACAAAATTGCCATTCAATTTTACCAGTACTGGATTATAGTTGTTGGTTTCTTATTTACTTTAAGCCTGCTGTATAACAAATGTTGCCAAAGTGAAGGCAGTACAATAATATGCTAATATTGTATGTATCTGTTCTCATTCAATTGGACAGAATTTTATTATGGCCTCTCAGATGTGCTTATTAATGTTAGATTCAGATACTTTTAACCTGCATTTAATCAAAAAAAATTTTTGTTTTGCAGGTGTTGGTATGGAAGACAAATTTTGACAGTATTCCTTATAACCATATTCTGAAAGGCCTTCATGTAAGAACAAATCCTGATCCTGCCCCTCATATAACTGATATTCACCCAAGAGTTCCTCATCTGCATACTTCGGGACCTCAGACGATACAGGTAATTGTATCACACGCCAATTTGTAGCAGCTAATCCAAACAAATGAAACTGCCTGAAGCTCATTAATGTAAAATGAAGAGCTCTGAAACAATATGTGCATAATTATTAAAGTATATATTACATCGCTCCATTTACTTAACAATAATAATTTTGTTGTGTGTATGTAAAATGAATAGAGAATAATTGATCTTCTGAATGAATTTAAGGCACTAATTAGTCAAAGGGTTTTGTTAATCACAAATGTTACAAAATTAGTTTTTTTTTGAGGAGGTTACAAAGATGATTGAGGGAAAAGCGATTGATGTCTACGTGGACTTCAATAAAGCCTTTGACAAGGTGCCTCATGGCAGACTGGTACAAAAGGTGAAGTCACATGGTATCAGGGGCATGCTGGCAAGATGGATACAGAGATAGTAGGAACTGCAGATGCTGGAGAATCTGAGATAACGAGGTGTAGAGCTGGATGAACACAGCAGGCCAGGCAGCCTCAGAGGAGCAGGAAGGCTGACGTTTCGGGCCTAGACCCTTCTTCAGAAAATGAAGAAGGGT